GGCGCTCCAGCAGGTGGTCTTCAGGGAAGGGGCGCAGCCGGAGCGCGTGGGGAGCTGCTCGCTGCTCATCGGCCTCCTGAGGACCAGCACGTGCTGCCCTCTCTCCCAGCTGCAGCCATTCACCTCCCGGACGGGCGGGGCTGGACCAGGTGCTCCCCCTCCAGCCGCCATCAGACCTGCCTCCCTCTGCTCGCTCACGGGCTCCCAGGGGAAGCGGGACTTGGAGCCGCCTGGCCCTCAGCAGCCCCCTCAGCAGCGTCTCCCCCAAACCAGCGCCCTAACCTGCCCTCCCAGAGCCGGGCCTCTAAGGAGACACCACGTTTGTTCCTAAGCATCGCTCCTCAGTCGGCCCTGCAGTCCTCAGCCAGGAACAAAACACGAACCGTCCAGAGCGGCTCCCACAGCCGGCTCCCCTCCCGCCGCACAGACTCTAACCACCCCCAGGTCTCAGGGCTGTCCCGCCTGGGGGCCGAGGAGAGAGGCGGGAACCTCCCCCAGGCCTCCCTGGAAGGTGCCGTGGGGGGAGCAGAGGTTCGGGGAGAAGCCGGACTGCTGGCCGTCCCCGGGGTCGTCCGTCGCGTCCTTGTGGTCGCTTCTGTCCAAAAAGCGTATTGCAGCGTCAGAGAGGAGAGCACGCGGAAAACAGCGTTCGCAGCTACCGCTCGTTTCTGCCCAAAGGGGCAGCGAGGGGGTCTGCCCGCCGCACACAGACCCGGGCGGCTCCGCTCCGCTCCCAGCAGAGGCGACAAACCGTACATTGGGAGAAGCCGGACTGCTGGCCGTCCCCGGGGTCGTCCATCGCGTCCTTGTGGTCGCTTCTGTCCAAAAAGCGAATTGCAGCGTCAGAGAGGAGAACACGCGGAAAACAGCGTTCGCAGCTACGGCTCGTTTCTGCCCAAAGGGGCAGTGACTCGCTCACCTCTCCTTCGCGTCCAGGAAGGCTTTGGCGAAGGGGTTGTATTTAATCTTGAGAGCTGTGATCTGAAAAACAAGAAGCCGCATGACCTGTGTATTGGTGACAGCCGGAGGTTTAGCGGCACTAAGAATCGGGGAGGCCCCCGCGTCCCGTGTAAGTATCCAAATATGACCCCACTCCTCTCCGGGTAGTTTTCTTGGTGGGTCCGAGTGGCTGGGGAGTGGCACCATTTCATACAGAATAGCACGGTGGCCCGGCCGGCGTGGCTCAGCGGTTGAGCATCAACCTATGAACCAGGAGGTCATGGTCGACTCCCCATCAGGGCACATGCCCGGGTTGTGGGCTCAATTCCCAGTGGGGGGCGTGCAGGAGGCAGCCGATCCATCATGGATGTTTCTCTCCCTCCCTCTCCCTTCCTCTCTGAAATCAGTACAAATATATTAAAAACAAAAAAAGAACAGCGCGTTTATGGAACGTTCTTACTGGTCCATTTTCTAAGTGAAATTCACAAGACCCTGGGCCTCCTGCTGACAACATTCTGTGCATCAACCAACACGCGGAGCTCGAACCCAAGACGCTCGGGAAACAGCGACCTGCTCGCTCCAGCGGGCGGTCCACACCCACAGCTCCGCCGCGGCCTGGACGGGCACTAGCAGCACCTCGTTCCTAGGCAGCACCGGGGCCCAGGCCTGTTGAAGAAAGCCTCAGGCTTTTACCTAAGTGTCTGACACATCCTTGCCTGTGGAGGTTGTAGACGCCTCTAGTTTAGACACTGTTACGGAGTCACAGGCGGCAATGCTCGCACGAGGACTTAGGGAAACCCTTCTCCCCTCTGCCCGGTTTTGTGGGAAATCATTTGAAAAGCGAGAAGGCCGAGTGTCACAGGACCTCGCTCATGTGGAATCTAATGAACGAAAGGAACTGACGACAAAACGAGACCCGAAGCCGGGAGGCCTGGAGCAGGCGGGCACGTCTCCATGTGGGTTGGGGGACGGGAAGAGAGAAACCGAAGGACTTCCACAAACTCACTGCACAGCCCATGGGCACGGGCAATAGGGGGGTGAAGACCTGGGGGGTCGGGGGACATGGCCAATATCTGTAATACTATCAACCATGAAAGTATATTTTAAAAATAAAAATAAAAAGTCATTTGGTGACAAAACACACTTATTTGTAAAGGCGGTAGCGTTTGGTCTGAGGGACACTATCGCACTGGCCGCCCCTCCCGGGACTCTGCCTGGAACAGCCCCCCCCCTTGCCCCCTCGCCCCTCACCTCCTCGTTCTGGTAGGCCGTCACCGCGATGAACTGCGTCTCGGGGAAGCAGTGGCTGGTGATCATGCGCTGGGGGCCGCCCACCCTCACAATGTGGATTCGAGGCTCATACTTATGCAAGGAGTTCAGCATGATCTGGGGGGACACAAACACAGCGTGGAGGCATGTCCCAGTTGGGGTCCCAGACACCCACTGCCCTGCCGTGGAGGAGAAGGCACCCCATGCCGACCCCCCAACCTCCCATGGCTCCCAGCGCCGGCTCCCTGCTCCTGGGGGGTTCCCCTCAGGCGCCCCCCTCAAGGAGGAAGGAGTGCCAGGGGCTACACGGCATCGAAGACCACGGGGCCAGGTGACATCTGGGACCTGGGGGAGTCCCGGCCCACGGCCTCCCACGGCCACAGGCAACACCACCGCCCAGCTGGTCTGGCCCTCACGGCCGCCGGGGACAGTCCCAGGTCCAGCCCAGGTCCAGCCGTTGCAAGGACGCATTTACGGGTTTGCTCGGATTCGGGTTTGCTTGGATTCTCCACAAGGACTGTGGTGCCTCTCACCTCTGAAGTGGCCGCCCACCGCCAGGGAGGTGTTTGCTCTGCCCCCAGGGAAGTGGGGCTCTACATGCCCAGCCCCCCACCGGAGACCTGCCCCCCTCGGCCAGGTTAGGCTGCGCCCCTCCACATCCCCCAGGTGGTGCTGTGACCCCCATAGGGTCACTGCAGGCAACACTGACGGCTTCACTGAGGGGGTCAGGGTTAGGGTTAGGGTTAGGGTTAGGGGGGCTGCAGGTCTCCAGGGAGAAGGCACCTCCCCGCAAGCAGGTCCCTTCAGGGGCTCCAGGCCCCCCTCCACGCCCCACGCCCGGCGCACCCACCTGGCCGCCGCCGTTGAGCTTGTTGGTGAGCTTGACCTTGCTGAAGGACACGGGCGCCTTCATCCAGTGCGCCCCGAAGTTGGGCGAGTCGGGGTGGATGTAGACGCAGCTGGGCGCCTGCGGCTCGGGCTTACCGCCCGGCACCCACTCCCCGTTCACATACTTCCAGCGGTGGCCATCGGCTGCCACGAAGTCCAGCAGGAAGGAGTACATGGCGTTGGGGTCCAGGCCGGACACGTTCACCTTCAGCACCGGGAACATGCGCCTGGAACGGAAGGGGCGCGGCGGGAGGAGCTTGGGCCGCCCCTGGGCCACAGGCGGAGAACTGGGGGCGGGCACTGACATTGCTGGGCGAAGAGGAGCCCGGCGTTGGGACCTTCCAGCCCCCCAGGGCCCCCGCCCCCACCTCAGGCGGCC